TTGGACAGTGTTCTCGAAGCAACCAGCATGAGTTTGACCAAACTGCGGGAGTGGAAGACAGGAGTGCCTGGCGTGCTCTGGTCCAGGGGGTCACGAAGAGGCGGACACGACTAAACGACTAAACAACAACAAAGATAACATCTGTTGTATTTAATTTAACTGAAGATGATTAAAATGTTGTTGCGCATTTTAATTCATAACTGCGCTGTTATTTTTAAAATTGTCCTGATTGTGACTTGGGCAGCAGCCTGGAAATTAGCCCCAGCGAGACTTTTACTACTTCTGATGTGAACTCCCATAAATATTTATATAGGATTGCAACAGAAATATGTTGACTTCTTCTGCTCTTATTTAGTATTTTCACTACATATACCAATGTTTATGTTTTGATCTGCCTGTTCAGATTTGTATTTTATGGCTGACTCATCCAAGGACACTGAGGTCACCTCCATACCATGCATTTAACGTACATGTCTTTCACCCCCCCTTCCCAAAAAAAAGATCCTCGGAGCTATAGGGTGTTAATGGTGCTGGGAAGAGGATTCTTCAGTTGAGGGTATGACGGTTAAAGTGCTATAAATGTGGTTTAAATGTATGGAATGGATGTGATCTGCAGTATTTCACTGATGTCACCAAGATCTATGGGGGAGAATGTGCTTTTTGCATGCTTAACACTCCTTATGCTGGTTACAATGGACCAAGATACGGTCCTGTTTGTGTTCACTTTTCAAAAAAAAGAAATAAGTAGAGAATGAACAGGATCCAGAGCCGGTTTTCTGTGGAGGGCATAGACTCAACCTCTTCTAAATTGGGGCAATATCCATATAAGTGTGTTATGTGTTTACTAGAAACAACCAAGTCATAATTAAGTTGAAAATGTTGTGTAAACGCTTTCGGGGGTGAAACCATGCTTTTCCTCACCTGGGTCAAAGACTTAGCTCGGAACCCCTCCCCACCTGTTTGCATACACACGTGCATGAGCACACATGCTCAGACACACACCTAAGCACATTTGTTCTTGAAGGGCATAAAAAGTAGACAATATATTATTTGAATACAAAAGTTTTTTAAAATGATTTTTTTATTGATTTCCAGCATAATTTACACAACAAAATACAGTGGTACCTCGAGTTAAGTACTTAATTCATTCCGGAGGTCTGTTCTTAACCTGAAACTGTTCTTAACCTGAAGCACCACTTTAGCTAATGGAGCCTCCTGCTGCCGCTGCGCTGCCACCGCCCAATTTCTGTTCTTATCCTGAAGCAAAGTTCTTAACCTGAGGTAATATTTCTGGGTTAGCAGAGTCTGTAACCTGAAGCATATGTAACCTGAAGCGTATGTAACCCAAGGTACTACTGTAGCAAACATAACTTATAACAAGTGGAAAAAAGTATGCATTTTTTTACAGCATTAGGAGATATAATGTGTATAAAATTGTAATTTTAAAGCTGGTATCACTTGATCAACCTAATCCATTTTGTTTAATTAATTAAAATGTTTTAATTGGGTTTCGAAGAAATGTGCCATTAACTGTTACTGTTTTGAATTTTATTGTGTTGTCGCTTTCCTTAGTAGTTGTGCAGGCTGCCATTCTGAATTATGCTTTTAAAGGGGATGAGTTGATGGAACCAAGTGGCCTTAAGCCTTTGTTGACAGCAGAAGGAAAACAGAGGCATCTCTCTCACAGGCAGCTTGGCTGCCTGCACCCCACTTACACTGCTCATTGATTCATTTGCAGTAAGACGCACACATGCCTCATGCTCCTGATGGAGGCCCAGATGTAAGTAGGGTGGAGAGGGCTTTGCTGGAGCCTCATGCATCTGAAAACAGGTGGGATTGAGGCTCCAGTGTTGCAAGGAGCAGAATGGCATGAGAAAACCCTCAGCAGGGCCACCGACTTGTGCATCTCATTGGGGTAGGCAGGAGCATCCCACACCAAGCACCTTCCCTCCTGCTCTGAGCGCCCATGGGGGGTGTCAGTGCTTCTTGGCCTTCCTTTCAAAGGGTTAAACATGATCTGAGCAAGATTCCTTGAGAGGAAGGGAATTTGGGGTGGGGAAATTAATTAATTCACATGACTATGGTATGTCCTTTAATTTAAGCAGGTCTGCTCTGAGTAAAACTTAGTTGACTACCACCCATAACTTTCAATTCTACTTTCTCCCCACTTTTAAGTGATTGTATCAAACCTACAGAATCTGGGTGGTTAGGGATGGGTCAATCTGTCAATTTTGGCTTTTCCAGTTACTCGTTTTTCCAGTCCTAAGCCCAGTTCTCCACATTTGCACAGCAGTAGGGTTTTAAGTCCTCATGAAAATTCATCAGCATCTTAGTGTGACTTTTTCTCACCGAGATATTTTTGTGCGCAATTTTGCCTAACATCCGAATTTCTGCAAAGCAATTTCCCCTAGCATAATGTGCTTTAACATTAGTTTCTGTAATGTATGCATTTACATGCAAATCTTATCCCAGCATATGCATTTTTGTATTTGTTACTTGGCCAGAGAACTGTGTTGCAACATTTAGAGAAGTGTGGCTATTAAAGGATGGCTGTGTTTCGGGTTGTGCATTGTTTTGGATAGTGCAGGTTAGGTAAGTTTGCCTTTAAATGCAAAGTGAATTGATGTTCTCTCGCAGGCACGGATTCATGCCTTGGTGGCTGCTGTTTATAAATGAGAATTGGGACACTACCATTGCATCCCAGAATTCTCCTAGTACTGGAAACCAGTGATCGTAATGAGCCCATCCTGTACAACTGCCATTTTATAAGAATCAGCTTTATGCATTTAGTCTGGCAGCTTGTTGTTGAGTGAGATTACTTGGCTCTTTCTATGCCACTGACCTGCCTGCCCCAGGGATATGATTTCAGCCAGGGATTGGGGTCAGATGTATGTTGTTGTTGTTGTTGTTGCTGTTGATTGAATTTCTATACCTCCCTTCATCCTAGGATCAACCTTACTGATTTTATCTCCCACTTTTCATACATCTGCTCCATGAATCGCATTTGCTCTCTTAATTTGCTGGAGACCCGCAAATTGCACCATTAACTCTATCCGTCTGCTGAGGCTTTCTCAAACAGTCTTTTCCCAAGCTCAATGGACAGCTGCTTTTGAAATGGAAGAGGAAGTTTCAAAAGCCATTAGTAGTCTGCAGTGATTCAAAGTTTCCTTTTTCTTTCTTCCTTGGTAAGTTGAGTTGCAAACTTGTACATAGCAACACTCCTGTGCTCCTTTAGATGTATGACATATGCCTACAAGTGTAGGGAGTTGGCCTTTGAACGGTTTGAGAAAACTGGGATTGCAAAACCTTTAGGACTGGGAGCACCATACAGCATGATGGAAAAAATCCATTTACGTCACATGTAAAACAAACAAAAACAAAAACCTGGTTTGTTGTGGAGTTATACACTGCATGGACTGGCTCTGGGCTAGCTAGGAGGCAGGAGATTCAACTTCAGCTCTTCACTCAAGCCACTAGGTGGCCTTCAGCAAGAAACAGAACATTAAACCAATGTTTACTAGATCTCACCATCAGATTGTTTGGTCGCTCTCAGCCACCCAAGTCTCATCTCTACATAAAACATTCAACATAGCCATAAGGAAAGCCCCTTATTTAAAAATAGTTACTAGATACAGTACCCTGTATCCACCTCCTATAAACTAAAGCTTCTTGAGTCTCCGATGTTCACACAGAACTTCTTTTGCATTGGGCAATCACTGCAATAATTGCATTCAATGGACATGGTGGTTCCATGTGCAGACTTTTTGACAGAGCTTCCCTTCTCTCCTGAGAAAGTAGGGATACCTGCTCTTGCAAGGACTCCATATATGTGTACTGGAGTTTCTGTGCTCACAAGGAGTGTATGGAACCTCTGGCATTGCAGTGTGCAAATCAGGATGTTTCAATTTCAGAGCAGGAATGGGCAGGGAACTACTTACAGCCTCTTCCTGGTATTATTATTGTTGTTATTATTATATTATTATTATTTACTGATTTGCTTTTAGAAAAATATTTTATTTTTCCAATTTTTCATTTTACAAAGTAATTACAACAAAAATTATGTCTAAACACATTTACTGATTTGAATGTGCACCATTGCATGTTGATTAAATGTCACACAGAAATAATCTTAATATCACACCACATACAATAATGTTTCCCTTTTTTGCGTATAGTCAAACATGTAATGCAGAAAAGGGGGAAAGACAGGAAGGAACTGTTGCAAATAGAGTTTGTACTGAAAAAAATTTAGAAATGAAAAATAGAACAATGGAGCCTTGGTTTCACTTTGGGAATGTGACCAGGTAATCTGAAGCTCTAGAATACAAGGGAAAATTCAGCTGAGAATTTGGGAAGCATCCCTAGTTTCTTCTGATCTGTCAGAAGTGCCTCTTCTAGGATAAAATGTGAGGTTGTGCCAGAAACCTTTATGGGAAAGAATTGCCTCTCTAACTCTCACCTCAAACAAACTGAAGATGACAGATACCACTGATATAAATCAAACTAGCATACTTTTCATTCAGAATTGCAAATGCCATGTGGAATGTCAAATCCTTTTGTACTGGTTTCTTCCCTATTTAAATACAGCATTACCTCATAGCTTCACAATGCTATACTACTATTAATTGGCAGCAATCTCGAAGAAAACAGTTGCGACACTCCCTTTAATAATCACTGCACAAAAAGGGAAGGGTGGATAATTTAGTTGCTCTCAATGTCGCAATATTGTTTATCCAATACCTGCAGTGAGTGCTGTGCACCAAGGGTGGGGACCCTTTTGCCCTCCAAATGTTACTGAACTGCAGCTCACATCAGCCACAGCAAGCATGGCCACTGAACAAGGGTGATAGGACTTGTAGTTCAGCAGCAACTGGTGGCCTAAGGGTCCCCATGTCTGCTGTACGCCTTAACACAACGGGTGGAAGGAGAGAGCTTTTAAAATATTTGTTAAATGAAAAGATGAGGTGGTTTGAAATAAGTAGGGAGGCAGCGTATCTGCAATAGTTGCCAGCCGTGTGTGTGTGTGTGTGTGTGTGTATATATATACACACACACACACACACACACATACAGTGGTACCTCGGGTTACATACGCTTCAGGTTACATACGCTTCAGGTTACAGACTCCGCTAACCCAGAAATAGTGCTTCAGGTTAAGAACTTTGTTTCAGGATGAGAACAGAAATTGTGCTCCGGCGGTGCGGCAGCAGCGGGAGGCCCCATTAGCTAAAGTGGTACCTCAGGTTAAGAACAGTTTCAGGTTAAGAACGGACCTCCAGAACGAAGTAAGTACTTAACCCGAGGTACCACTGTATATATATAGTGCTATGATACTTAATTTAGAAACTTAAATAAACAGGCACTGGCTCCCCAAATGTTCTGAGAACAGTGCAGTTGAAATAGAGCCAGACACCCTCTATTTTATGAGTAACAAACTATATTCACTTCCTCCACTCCTACTGCCAAGAGAGAGCTAAAGAAACTCATTTTGCACCTGCATGTGCAGACTAGGTGTTAGCTTGCTACAAACCATGGTTTGCAAATCAAAATTTAGCCTCAGGAGCCCAAACTCCTCCTTCCTCCTTCCAGTTTCCATTACTTCACTTGCAATATGAGAAATAATAATAATAATAATAATAATAATAATAATAATAATAATTTATTTATACCCCACCCATCTGGCTGGGTCTCCCCAGCCACTCTGGGCTGCTTCCAACAAAATATTAAGATACAATAGTCTGTTGAACATTAAAAGCCTCCCTAAACAGGGCTGCCTTCAGATGTCTTCTAAAAGTAGTTGTTTTTCTCTTTGACATCTGGTGGAAGGGCGTTCCACAGGGCAGGCGCCACTACCGAGAAGGCCCTGCCATGTTCCTTGTAGCTTCACTTCTTGCAGGGAGGCAACCACCAGAAGGCCCTCGGCGCTGGACCTCAGTGTTTGGGCTGAACGATGGGGGTGGAGACGCTCCTTCAGGTCAAATCAGGTGAGTCTGCTTTGGAATCCAAGGAAGGAGGGTTCCTGTTCCATGACTACCTGCAGGTATAATAGACCCACGTTGAGGGTTATTAAGATGTTACTGCTGAGATATGCCTTTATGAGACATTACATGCAAATACTGGTAACTGTTCCCCTGTTCCATTCTTCCCAAAAGAAAAACAGATTCAGGTGGGGTGGTTTTGATCACAGAAGCAGTGGGAGGGGTGTTGGTGTTGGCCTAGGGGGCGGGACCCACACTCACCCTGCCTGCAGCCTCTCAACTCCAAATTTCTCTCCTTGAGGGTTGGTTCCCCAGAAGGTTCAAAATGAGTCTAAATGGGGGTTCTTCCATTTGAAGCAGAGAGTCTGTGGGATAGCGGAAGTGTAAAGCACAGCCCCAAGCCACTTCTCCACTCAAATGCCCTCCTTTGGAAGCTGTGTTTTGTTTATAAAGAAGAAGAGCAGCAACAGCAGAACTGAGTGACATACGACTTGTAACCTGTCCTTGAGACAGAGAATGCAAAGCTCTTTCAACACTTGTTAAGCACAGTAAAAATGATAAACATCAGCAGCATGGGTTTATAACATTTTCGAAAGTTAAATCAGGATTCTGGTGTGATGGCGGGGTGCAGAGGCTGTTGTTTCACAGAGGAATGTTGCTAGGCTACACATAATGGCTCTTAAGCATATGGTGCCCCCTGTGTCCCTCCGAAGTCTTCAGTATTTGGAGTCCTCCTACTCCGTGTTGTGAAAGGACCCTTTGGCACTCTGGCAGGAGGGCAGCAACTGTTTCCTGTAACCTTGGAGCCCCCTACTGGCATGTACTGATTTGTAGTTGACCACATAAAAGCAGCCTATGCTGGATCAGGTGAAAGGTCCATCCTGTCTAGCTCTTTGCCTTCAACAGTTGTCAACTATATTACCCTGGAAATTAGAAGTTCACAGCAGAGCAAGTTGAGGAGAGCAATCCTCTATTGCAGTGGTGTCCAAACTTTTTTCCAAAGAGGGCCATTTTACCCAGGAAATAAACTTCCACAGGGGCCGGATTAAACCGACCTGCGGGCAGGATTAGGCCCCCGAAACAGACTTTGGACACGCCTGCCCTATTGCTTATCCCCAACTTCAAGCAATCAGAGTTCTAGGGTCTCTGATAATGGAGGTTGCATTTTAACAGCCATTAATAGACGCATTTTTCATGAATTTGCCCATTGTAGACACATCAACACCTTATCGATAAAAAAAATAATATGCTCTGAATGAAGAACTTTGCACTAGTGTTTTTTGTCGGTTCTGAATCTAGTGTCAGAGTGTCATATATATTTTGTAAATATTTAGTCTATTCATACAATTATTTTAAATGAGTTTGAGTGTGCTGCAGCCCAGTTCTAACCATGTTTATGCAAATGAAAATCTTGTAAGTTTCATTGCCATTTGCTTCTAAAGGATGAAGTCTTGCCCAACTATTAATTATGAAGGAAGTAGAGTTGGGATGATGGGGCAGTTTCTTTGGGGTTGTTTTTTTACTGTTGGAAGAGTGGGGCACGTGGTCTTAGGATTCAGGGGGCTCTCGGGCATGGTACCCTCAGTGCCTATGCCCCTGGTCTGCAAGAGGTGGAACGTGCAAGCTGAGAATTCTCTTGGCTGCATCTGTTGTATTGGATGCTTTGTACAAAGCTGAAGTAGGAGCATGGGATTTTGGGATCTTTAGCAAATGCCCAGTCTTGCTGGTCTGAATGCAGAGCCCTGAAGCTAGCCCTGAAGGGAGAGCAGAGGGACATCGCCCGGCTGTGAGCCGTGAAGGCCGCTCCCTGCAAGGCCCTTTCCACCTGGCCTAGGGGGCGGGACGCACACTCACCCAGCTCTACCCAAGTGGTTCCTGGGGAGACCAGAGGGACATCGCTATGCCTGACAACAAACCCTAACTATTGGATTCTTTTGCCCCATCTTTTTGTGCCTGCCAAACAGCCGTGTCATGCTTATGATAATATTTTATTCTCTTGCTAATTATGCTGTTTTAAATGTGCATTTTATATTTGACTTCACTTAGCAATGTTTTTTTCTTTTTTGAAATGTTTGGGGCTTTTGTTGTTGTTAACTTTGTTTGGGTTAAATATGTATTCTGTAGTTGACCTCCTTTGTAATGTTTTATTTTGAAATCTTTAAGATAATATTTTAGTTTTCTGTTAATTATGTTGCTTTGACTGTATACTTTACAGAACCAAGCTTATTCACTGAAATCCCCACCCAAAAACACTCCCATGCTAATACTTTGGGAAGTGAGGGATATAGGAGCAAATAGATGGTTGCATTAGAAGTTAGCAAGGACACCGCAGGGACTTGAACCCCGACCTGGAAGCCTTGAAGGTGGTGCTTGAAATGGTCCTTAGGTGCAGTGGTGGAGTTAAGAATCAAGCTCAGTCACTGAAGTCACCACCCTTCCATGCTAATACTTTGGCTTAAGAAAAAAGAGCCAATTGTTATTTGGGCAGTGTGAGATAGAGAGATAGAGAGGGATAGATAGAGAGGGATAGAGAGGGATAGAGAGACAGAGAGAGAGAGGGATAGAGAGATAGAGAAAGATAGAGAAGGATAGAGAGTGTTAGCAGTTGCATTGGAAGTAAGCATGGACACCGCAGGGATTTGAACCCCGTCCTGGAAACCAGGAGCGCCGACCACCAGTGTCTTTTGCTTTTTTTTTTGAGCAATGCAACAAGGGGAAAAGCAAAACCTGAGAGAACATTCTGCTAATGTTCTCTCAGGAAAAAGAAAACCTGAAGATGTTAAGAAGAGCTCTTTGGAGAGACCTGCGGAGAGACCAGTAGAAAAGAAAATGAGAAAAAGGAGAGACCAATAAAAAAAACATTATTCTGGGGGGGGGGGGGGATGAGTAGTGGAATGTGAACTTACCTAAAGCAGCACAGTCCAAATGCAGGCGACTCTCACTTCACATACACTGAACTCTGCAAAGCCTGAAGAAAAGAGGAGCTGGAACAAAAGAAGAAGTCTTCTCCTACTTGCAGGTGGGCCTCATTGTGGTGACACAGAATAGAGCTTCTTCTGACGACTCAGTCACCCCGACCTGAAAGAGTCTTAGCACAAAGAGTTGCAGACGAACACAACAGAGATTTTCTCCCTAGCCAAGCTAGGGATACTCACCTAAATGTCCTTCAGTGGTAGTGTATAGAACTATATTACTATCATCATTGTGATGTAGCGTTTAGGGTTTACTTGTATCCGAGCCTGTCATCACCTCTGAATATTCATGAGTACTTGATAGTTACCTTTCTTCAGCTGCGATGGTCGCTTCAAAGCGAGAAGTGACAGGCAAAGAGGATGTGAGGGCGATCTGGCTGCCTCATCTGTCACCCCATTGATCGCCAGGGTTGATTTGGCTGATCTGGCTGGCTAGTCTGTTGTCCCCTACCCCCCTCACCACTCCATGTGTGTCCCTCCCGAAGCTGCGTGCTCAGTAGAAGAGGATGACCATCCCAGATAGAAGAACTGCACCATTCTTTGGTCAAGGCTATACGATAGCTGCGCCCCACTGCTAGGACCTCCAAACAAGCTCAAGGGTCCAATTGTTGGAGAATGTAGGGTAGTCAAGCTTTCAAGACTCCAGACCCATCCAAGTAAGGTGCTGAATTTTGTGTTGTCTGAACTATGCATTAAATGGTGTTCTTGGAAGATGCTTAGCAAAAAGTTTAGAGGTTTCAGCAGGGGAGCACAGCTATCGTATACCCTTGACCGAAGAATGGTACACTCCTTCTACCTGGGATGCTTGTCCTCTTCCACCGAGCGCACAGCTTTGGGAGGGACGCACACGGAGCAGTGAGGGATACAGCATAATCCACCCCCTTAGCGCATTTGTCAATGAAATCATAGACCATGATTTTAGAGTCATTACTACCACAGCCACATTACGTATTGGAGATAGGTTTGCCTGCCCTGTTGCATAGTTACCTTTTGACGTCCGTTTCCCATTCATTATGTCATCTTGTAGTTGCTGCTGGAAAGGCCAGTCCTTTCAGTACTGCTCTATAACCTACAAGCATTCGTTCTGCCTCCACTGGAATCCTCCACTTGCAAGACACATTGGAGACATTCCAGAGTTGAAGACTCCAATTTAAGATGGGAAGATACAGAAGAATCCTTTATCGTAACAGGTTGCAAATCATCTTGCCGCAACTTTAAAATGAATGAGGAATCACAGAGTTCCATTTTGACTAGATATTTCCTCCCTAGTCAAGCAAGGGATACTCACCTAGATGTGCCAATGACCGCTCCCCGCTTAAAACGGGGGGCGCCCTTTGCGTGGACGCGCGCAACCCCTGGATCTGGAGCAGCTCCATCAGCATAGGCTTGGCTTTGCCTTCCCTCAGGTGGGATACCTGGAGGTCTCCGCCTACCTCAGTCAGTTGTCCAATCCCACCTGGGGAAAGCGTTGCCAAGGAGACCAGGCCAGGTAGGGGAGGGATTACCTGCCCACACAACAGAGGGAGGATCTTACCTGGGAATCCTCACTTGGCTCCAGAGCTTCTCCCACCCTACCCACCCTCAGTTAATGTCTTATTTTGCAGGTTAACTTTTCTTCACAGGTTTTGCAGGTTAACTTTTCTTCACAGGTATGCGGGCGCTGCTACGTTAAGGTCGCTGTTAAAGGGCCGGAAAGGAATTTCCCTGCATTGGCAGGTTTCGCCTTTCCTGTAGCAAAACGTCACAACTTTGGCGGTATCAGGCCTTGGGCGGAATCCTTTAGTCCATCTTCCTCTTTGCGGCGGCGATACCAGGGTTCCTCGTTAAAGGGAGGCTTTGACCGTACGCCGAAAGGTCGTCGTTGCTCTCCCCTGCGGCGTCGTCGTAACGGGGGCGGCTATCTCTGCTTGAACATATGTTCTCCAGAGCCGGCCCATCCCCCCCCCCACTGGATAACCCTGATGCTCCCTAGGTCCCCGGCTGGGGACTGGGGAGGGAGAACGCCCAATGCCTGAGCCAAGGTCTACCCACATTTGAAATTTAATAAAGTTGTGGCCAATTTAATCCCATAGCACGTTGTCTTGAGTCGTTATTCCACATGACGGGGGGGACCGCTCGGGATCTGGGGACTCCGCCTGTCCACGCAAATAGCTGTTCCTAGAAGATGCTTAGCAAAAATAAAATAAAATCCAAAAACCTTGGTTATTACCACCAAAGAACCACGTTACGCATCAGGAATAATTTTGCCCGGCCTGTTCCATAGTTACCTTTTGAACTCCATTTCCCATATCTTTTCGTAATCTTGCAGGTTCTGCTGGAAAGGCTTAGTGGAGTTGATGTTCTAGTCTGCTTCCTCATTGGATCCTCACAACAACCCTGTGAGTTAGGTTAGGCTGAGAGATAGAGCGCTTCATGGCACAGTGAGGATTTGAACTCAAGTCTCCCAGGTCCTAATCCTGCACTCTAACCTCTCTCAGTAACTTCCCTCAGAGAAAGCACTTTCCCACAGGATCCTAGACTTGCCATGTCCCTGAGCAGCCACTCTCCAGTCGCCATCAACAGGTTCATCCTCAAAATGCTTTATTTGCCTTTTCAGCAAGTTTTTAACTTACCTGTCTTTCTCTCCATCCAAGGCAACTTGAGCCAACATGAAATTAGAAGGAACGGCTTTGTCCTCTCCTTGTCTTCTTTGCTTTTTCTCTCTCGACATGCACATTTCTAGCTTCAGCAACAAAAAACCCAAACTTTTCCTTCATGAAATGACTTCTCTAGTTGCCTTTTAAAAGAAAAGCCTTCTATTTTTCCTACTCATTTTCCCTGTTCTTTAAGTGGACTTCATATCCATGTACCCTTTTATGTGCTCCTTCATTTCATCCAAAGACTCATCAGTTTGAAAGGTAAATAACATTTGATTCTCACCTTCCTTCATTTATCTTCATTTATCTTGGCTTTTCCAGTTAAGTATTTTTGATTTTCTTGATTCTCTTTAAAATCTCCATCTTGATATTTTTCTGATTTTGTTTGTTTGTTTGTTTGTTTGTAAAATACGTCCACATGACTTCTGTGACTCTGCAGGAAGAGGTGGCTTCATCTGAGTGTTGTTTTTTTTAAATGATATTTATTGAAAATTTTTAGAATTACAAAAGAGAACAAAGCAGAAAAAGAGAAAGAAAAAACAAAGAAAAAACAAACCACATCAAACAATACAAATTCAAAAAACAAAAATACCACAAACACTCAAAAACAAATCCATCATTCTCAAATCCTCAACTGTCATTACCTTCTTTCTTTGACCTCCTCCTCCTCCCTTTTTTTGTATCCTAGTTGTTAATTGTCGCAGCAAATCCTTTCCATATTTCATAATATTCTGTCCTTACATTACCTTAATCTATTTTAATCTTATCTTACTATAAAGCACCTTAAAGTTTAAAACTTAAATCTTATTTTTACCAACTTCTCATAACCATAATATTCTTACATAATTCTTTAAACATTTTTGCTAAAGCCAAGTAATTTCGTTCCAACATTCTTCTAACATTCATCAATTTTATAAAACAATCCTAGTAGTAAAAAAAAGAAATGAAAACAATCCAATCTTCATCCAGCGTCCCTTCCTCCTGGTCCCGGGTTTTGTCAGTCCTTATTATCCCATCGATCTAGCGCATTAACCTGGTAACCTTGTATCCGAGGCCCTTAAGTCTCTTCCATGTCCCTTCCGCAGCTCTTCTTCATATTTATAACTGTATTTTCCTTTGTCTCCTGCTCCTTTCACTCGTGGGAACTCCAGCTTAACAATGTTTTTGACCCTTCTCGACAAATCAGCCCCTTTTCCATAGTCCACACTAAACTCCATGCGGTATTTAAGAAAATGTTTCAAAATCCCTCCAAAATTAAGAGCCCCCACAACCCCAAACATCTCACGGCCCATTGCCAGACTTGAAAGGTCCAAACATCCCTGCATAGGGGGGTCTATCCAACCCCCCATTTCCAAACCAAACCAAACTTTATCTTTCCAAATCTGGCTTTTTCCAAGTTCATTTGTCAAGTCCAAAAGCTCATGTTCCTGCTGGGCCACAGCTCCCTTCATCTCTGGCGCCCAAGATTCAGCAACATCCTCTTCCCTCATCTGTTCTGTCAGGGCACACTCCTGATTTAATTCCTGGGTGGGCTCCATATAATATCCCACTGCCTGTTCAAAATTTCTGATCGCATCAGTCATCAAGTCCGTCTTCTCATGTAGCTGTTCCAGTAGGGCATTTGTTTTACAGAAAGCACGCAACAGAGCTTCTGAATACATTGTCCTGCAAGGTCAGATGTCTATTCCCACGATTGTAATCTGTAACAGCTGCAAGCTCCCGGAGTTGGTTACAGTTTCACAGTCTCCCTCTAGGGGGAAAACTTCTATTTGTTCTTTCTTTTAAAGACAAGTCTAACAACAAAGTTTCCTTTTTCAGATATTTTGTAAATATTTGTTCCTTTAAAATGCGAAGGGGAACAATGGAATCAATATTTCTCTTCTTATAGCTATCTGTCAAAAACGTTTGTCTCTGGTCAATGAGCTTCAAAAAACGTCAGTCCTGACACCCCGCTCCAGGATCAGGACGGTGGAAAGTTACTTTACTTTACACTCACTTCTGCAGGTTTAAACAGTCCGAAACAATCCCCCTCTTCTCCTGCTTCCGAAGGGGGGTTCAACAATTTTAAATGATGAAAGTTAATCTTTTACAAGCAATTTTCTGAGCTCTAGTTTGCCATGTCTTTGCTTTAATCTATCTACAAAGAAACGGAAGGCTGACTTCCTGTTTAGACCTTCCCGTTTCAGTGCCAAATTGAGGTAAACTTTTAAGTCCAATTTTCCTTTCTGCTCGCAAGTCCTTATTTAAAGTCCAATTGTCCGAAATTTAAGTACTCACGGGTGATTATTTTAGGAGCCAAATTGTCCCAGGAAAAAGGCAGCGCTCTCCGGCAACGGCTGTGCGGCTTCACTCCACGGAAGAAGCAGTTGACTCTCAGCACCGCACCACTTCCCCCTCTTCGCTCCGGAGCCCGTTAGTGGGTTCTTTTGTGGGTTGGGGGGGCGCTAAAGGTGCCCGCCGAGTCCCATGGTCACAGGCTTCATCTGCCTGTGATTTTTGAAAGGGTCCCCGCTTCGCCGTAGCGGAAAAGACCCGTTTCGCGTGGAGCTAGTCCCTCCAGATCAGAGGGAGTCCGCCGTTGCCGATGGCGCCACCCCGGAAGTCCGCTTCATCTGAGTGTTGTGGGCTCTTCAGACACAACTATAAAGAGAGGGTGTCAATGAGATGCACCTGGAAGAGACTGGGGTCTCCAGCCCCTTTTCTCTCTCCTACAGAAACAGAGGAACAAAAACAGCAGGTTACCTAAAGCCGCGCAATCAAAATGCATGTTTCTCTCAATAATACACTGCTGCAGGTTTTTACTTGATGTATCAAGAGCTCTTACTCACTTTGCATCTTAGGAGTTAACAGAACAGTTCTGCCTCAGACACAGTGAACTCTGCGACGTCTGTAAATCAGAAGATCTGGAACAAAAGAAAGAGTGTTGTCCCACCCGCAAGTGTACCTCACTGTGGACCGACACAGGAAAAGGTCTTCTCTGCAGTGACATCTCGACAGTAGAAGTTCCCTTGGAAACAGGAATGGCGGCCACCTGGCGTCTTCAGTTCCCAGCTCATCTGAAAAGAATGACTGAATGACCAATGTTGCCAAGTGCAAGCTCCTTAGGAACTTGTATATTTTATGTATTATTACATCAATAACTTACCTTTTCTCCAGTGAGTTCATGGCGGTGGGATTGTCCTTCTCCTGTGAGCTGAAACAGTCTTTGCACAAAGAGTTGCAGAAGAACGCAATATAAATTTTCTTCCCAGCTAAGCAAAAGATACTCACGTAGATGTCCTTCAGGCATAATGTATACAAGTATATTGCTGCTATCATTGTGATGTAGCGTTTAGGGTTTACTTGAGAGGTATTTGAGCCTGTCATCACCTCTGAATATTCAAGAGTACTAGGTAGTTACCTTCCTTCAGCTGCGATGGTCGCTTCAAAGTGAGAAGTGATAGGTTTGCCTGCCCTGTTGCATAGTTACCTTTTGACGTCCGTTTCCCGTTGTTGCTGGAAAGGCCAGTCCTTTCAGTACCGCTCTATAACCTACAAGCATTCGTTCTGCCTCCACTGGAATCCTCCACTTGCAAGACACATTGGAGACATATTCCAGAGCTGAAGGCTCCATTTAAGATGGGAAGATACAGAAGAATCCTTTATTGTAACAGGTCGCAAATCGTCTTGACACAACCTTAAAACGAATGAGGAATCACAGAGTTCCATTTTGACTAGATATTTCCTCCCTAGTCAAGCAAGGGATACTCACCTAGATGTGGTTCAGTCACAGAGTGCCATTTTGACTGCCATTTTTTCATGAAGCACGTGAAGAGATTAAAAAGGAGAGACCAGTACAAAGCATTGCACGGAAAAAGATCACCGAGTAGTGGGGAAAAAGAGCAGATTACCTAATGCAGGACAGTCAAAATGCAGGTGCCCCTCAAACATCTACTGCAGGGTTCTCCTTGATGTATCTGCTGGAAAGGCTTAGTGGAGCTGATGTTCTAGTCTGCTTCCTCATTGGATCCTCACAACAACCCTGTGAGGTAGGTAAGGCTGAGAGATAGAGCGCTTCATGGCAGAGTGAGGATTTGAACTCGAGTCTCCCAGGTCCTAATCCAGCACTCTAACCTTTCTCAGTAACTTCCTTTGGAGAAAGCACTTTCCCACAGGATCCTAGACTTGCCATGTCCCTGAGCAGCCACTCTCCAGTCGCCATCAACAGGTTCATCCTCAAAATGCTTTATTTGCCTTTTCAGCAAGTTTTTAACTTACCTGTCTTTCTTTTCTTCCAAGGCAACGTGAGCCAACATGAAATTAGAAGGAATGGCTTTGTCCTCTCCTTGTCTTCTTTGCTTTTTTTCTCTCGACATGCACATTTCTAGCTTCAGCAACAAAAACCCCAAACTTTTCCTTCATGAAATAACTTCTCTAGTTGCCTTTTAAAAGAAAAGCCTTCTATTTTTCCTACTCATTTTCCCTCTTCTTTAAGCAGACTTCAGATTCATGTGCTCCTTCTTTTCATCCAAAGACTCATTAGTTTGAAGGGTAAATAAAGCTTGATTTCCCCCACCCCTTCACATTCCTTCATTTATCTTCAATTTCTCTTGGCTTTTCCTGTTCAGTTTTTTTAATTTTCTCGATTCTCTTTAAAATCTCCATCTTGGTATTTTTCTGAGTTTTCAGTTTAAATTTGCCTTGCTTAAACTCTTTTTGGGGGTACTTTCTCAAAGTCCACCATCTGTCTGCAATTTACTGTCCCTGTGTTATTAGGATTAAGTCTTCTTTGATCTTCTATTTTCCTTCAGTTTCCTTTCAATTTAACATTTAATTCCTCTCCTAACACTTTTTAGGGACAGATACCTGATTAAGGTATACGTGCGCAGTATTTGAAATCAACCACAGCAGAGATAGCAGAGATCATAGGTGAAAATTACCTGTGTCCCTTTTTAAAGTTGTAAGTAACGAATTTCAGAAGAGTGAAATCCCTTCATTTACTCTATAAAAAATTCCCAATAGTTTTGAAAAACGTAAGCTGGTTTCAGTTGCCTTTTCAAACCTGTTTCATCTTCCTAGCCTCCCTCTCCTAATCCCTCTGCCCCTTAACTCCTTCAGCTCTGACCAGTGAGAGGGCTAACACCAGTACTATAGCCAGGGACAGGCTCACTCACTGGAATATGGCTCGCTCCTTCTGCCACCAGTAGGTCATAACCACACATTAAAAAGTCCCTTGCAGCATTAATACAGTGGGTGCAAATGTCTTTAGTTTCAACATGGGGTCACTTCAGGGCTTTGATGGGAAATGAGTGTATTCTGGAAATACAAGGGAACTTAATTTGTAATCCACCCAAATCTCATGGAGTACAAACTACAGGAACATGACCTGCACAGGAGAATAAGGGAAAGACTATGGGAAGAGGGGCTGGCTTGGATCTCAGTGGCCCCCATTGAATTCTGTGGAGCAAAGTAAATGGGCTGTACAGTTGGAAAAGTAATATGGGGTACCGTTGGAATGGACAGCAGTTGCTTCTCACTCCTATGTATAGAGAACATTCTCTGATAGAATGAATGAAGCCTGGGTGCTTGTTTTTAAAAAAGTTGGCTTAAAAAGAAATAAAGTGGTGGTTAATTTTAAATCATTGCTCCCCTTTGTAGCATACTGGCCGTCTTTCACTTGAAAATTGCTTTGTTGAAATATAATACCTGGTTGGTGGATGAGAAGGGTTTGGAGTGACTGAAATAGATGTACAGCTCCACTATTTACAGAAGAAATTTCATTTCACTGTAACCACAGTTGTGTAATGCATGACGTCATCAATCCATTTGCCATTGCCAATAGATTAAAAATTCTCCTAATCAAAATCATTCATTTTAAAGGAATTTGCCTTGTTTGGTGCACTTCTTTCTTGCACTGGGCAAGGAAAACATTGCCACTGAGAGAGAGCAGAAGGCTGATCTATAAGATGGTAAAGTGGTATTTTCCTTTAACATTTTAGCAGCCACTGGCCCATTTGAAAATGGGGGCTGACTGGTAGTATTCCAGATAAGCCCACACTTGACTTGTCTAGCTTGATATCCTAACTGCATATAACGTGACTGCAATGAAAGGTTTTTGCTTGAGATGATAGCTTCTTTGCATGACTATTCAGTAGTTCTTCTTTTCATACCTGGCAGAAAAATGTCAGTGACATGATGGATGATTTCTCACGGGGAGAAATGTTCCATTAGGTGTCCATCTGGTTCAGTGTTTATATTAGTGCACTCTGGGAGACTGCCAAGATTCGGAATAAGGTGTTATTTTGCTCCATGTTATGTGTAATTTTTTGTTTGCATGTGCAACAAATGTGAAAACTAACCACAGTTTCCTGTGACATCCACACTCAGAGATTTCTGGATTAACTATAGTTAGTGAAAATAAGCCAGGAACAAGCATGTTTTTATGTCCTGTTTTTTGTTGTTCTCAAATCAACTTACTTAGAGTAGGGGGCCAGGGTAATGCCATGCTGTGTGGCATCGGTTGCCAACAATGCCCATATATGCCCATAGAGGCCTTTCCAACTAAGTGTAGGAAGAACCTTCTGACAGTAAGAGCTGTTAGGCAGTGGAACAGACTCTCTAGGAGGGTGGTGGACTCTCCTTCCCTGGAGGTTTTGAAGCAGAGGTTGTATTGCCACCTGTCATGGATGTATTTTAGTTGAGATTTCTGCATCGCAGGGGGGTTGGACTAGATGACCCTCAGGATCCCTTCCAACTCTGCAATTCTATGATTCTATGAATGATGCCATTGTGGCTACTCCTAGACTACAAGCCTAAAGCTGCCATCTTGTGTATACAAATTCATCCATGAAACTGAGCTTCATGGCTGCAACCCTAAGCACAGGAACAAAGGAAGCTGCCTTATAACTGAATTAGACCAGTGCTCCCATCTGGCTTTGTATCAATGACTGACAGTGTCTCTCTAAGGATTTCCTCCAGCAGCCATATCTGGAAATCTGTGACCTCCTCCCTACAACACACACACTCCACCTCTGTGTTATAGCTGTGCCCCCAAAGCACACTGGCCGGATCACTGGGACTTCCTTCTAAGCAGAGTTAGGGTCAAACTGCACTTCCCATGACCAGGGGGAAAACAAAGGGCCAGGTTGCCAGGGCTGGAGTCAGATGCAGGTCAGCACAAAGAAGCAAGGCCAGTTGTCAGTGCTCAGTCAACTTTTTATTCAAGGAAATGAACATACAACTCAGCGACACTTCTCAGTAGGTCTTGGCCCTGTGGAGCAGTTGTCAGGACTGAGGTCCCTGCCTTCTAAGGCTCCTCCTCTCCCAAGCAGTCTCAAACAGCATCTGAGCATCTTTGGCCTCTGTTCCCCTCTCCTCATTATTCTGTGCGTTCTTGGAAGAAAAAGAAGAGTTTGGATTTGATATCCCACTTTATCACTACCCGAAGGAGTCTCAAAGCAGCTAACATTCTCCTTTCCCTTCCTCCCCTACAACAAACACTCTGTGAGGTGAGTGGGGCTGAGAGACTTCAGAGAAGTGTGACTAGCCCAAGGTCACCCAGCAGCTGCATGTGGAGGAGCGGAGACGCGAACCCGGTTCCCCAGATTGCAAGACTACCGCTCTTAACCACTACACCACACTGGCTCTCAGTGTAAGACAAGGCTGGAGGGGAGCTTGTCGCAGCAGGAGAGGAAGACTCCCTGGATTCCTCAGCAGTCTCTTGACGCCCCTCCTCTGCTTCAGCCTTGGAGTCTGAACTGCTTCCTTCCACAGGTTCTTCCTGCTCACTAAACTTTGTTGTCCCTTCAGCCTCCAGATCCTCCTCCCAATCTTCTCCCTCTGACCTCCCCTCACTGTCCCTTTCCCAATCCCCAGGCTCTGAGTCTTCCTCCTCTGAGGTCTCCCTTGGGGGCTCCCTGACTGGTGCCTCCCACTCCTCCTCATCATGCAGCCAGTCTCTGACACAGACTGAAGAATAGCACTTACTGCAATTGCTTCCCTAGATTCTCCGAATTGCAGGAATTGGCCTCTCTGCTTATACTGGCTACTGACACATGGCTTAAAAAAGAAAAAAAGAGGAGACTGATTTGCAAATGCTGTATACAGATGCATATTTAAAAATGATTACTACCCTACTGAGTCATACAAAGTAGACCCATTGGTTTCGGTGAGTCTGAGTATGAATTAGCGGGATGCATGATTTTACTCTTGAGTATGACAAATGTTAGATATCACCCTATAATTTTTATAGAGGAATACTATACATCTCACTGTAGTGGGGAGGACCAGGGCCTGTGTGCATGTGCTCAGTCTTCTGCCAAGGGGCTGGCTGCTGATGGGCAGTTCCTGGGCCCCTGCTTTCCTTTACTTTTAAACCAGATTTGGAATGGACAGCCATTCAAACAGAGGACATTATACAGAGAAAGGCTATCTGTCCTTAACCCGTCCCTATCCTAACCTTATCCTGCTACCTCTCCTTATCCTAACCTTCTGATAGACAGGTCAAATGGACACAGGTCTTCTCCAAAGGAGGACACTGACCACCCTGTCTTTGCTTTGCTTGTTCTGCTAATGTGTGCATGTGGTACCAGTTGCTCTGTCATTGAGACCTTGTCCATTATCCACATAATTTAAATAGGCTGCATTTTTGTGTGTGTTGTTTCCTAAGCAAACGAAGATGTGAAATTAGACTCTTTTTAAAAAAGTACTAGTGATGTAGTGAGACCAGAGGGACATTGCCCGGCTGTGAGTCGTGAAGGCCGCTCCCTGCAAGGCCCTTTCCACCTAGACTAGTGGGATATTCCAGGTCTGTGATCAAATCAGAAACCAGGATGGCTTCTGTAAACCCGGGATTGTCCTTGGAACATAAGGACGCTTGGAGGGTCTGTGTTTGTAACAGATCCTATTTGAACTTTAATATGTGAAAATGATGTTTAATATTCAGGAGTCAGGGCATGATTATAACAATAGGTTGAGCTATAAATCTGCTGTAAAAGAGGCAGAAGTAGAAATACAACAAATGCGCTGTAATGTATATTTGCCCTTGAACACTTGCAAGGAAACAGGTCTATGGGGGCACAGGTCTATAATTCATGTTTGTTCCCCAGCCCAGCCGTTTTGCCCCGTTTGAGGGGGTGCTGAGGAAAGATGTAAAGTACACCCAAATCTGGCATGTGTTTTGAGTACTGCACTAAGTGATCTAAGTGAAACTTACCGTATTTTTCGCTCTATAAGACGCACCAGACCACAAGACACACCTAGTTTTTGGAGGAGGAAAACAAGAAAAAAAATATTCTGAATCTCAGAAGCCAGAACAGCAAGAGGGATCGCTACGCAGTGAAAGCAGCAATCCCTCTTGCTGCTCTGGCTTCTGGGATAGCTGCGCAGCCTGCATTCACTCCATAAGACACACACACATTTCCCCTTACTTTTTAGGAAGGAAAAAGTGAGTCTTATAGAGCAAAAAATATGGTAGCATGCACATTTATTAAATAATTCTTCATTTGGTGTTTGAATATCAGCTCAACACACCCGCACCTGTTTTAAAGTGGGAGATGCAAAATACTCTGCAGTCTCTAAAGCTTATCTTTCCAAACCTGCTGATTGTTTTATTGTTAGTTTTATATGATCCTATTGTGGACATAGGCTTTCAGGGGATCAATAAAAATTGAGGGGAAGTTTCCGTGTGATTCTTTAGTCTGGCACCACCGACTGGCTATTATACCCTTCCTGCTCCCGAACCAGGTATCTCTGTGAAAAACAGAGACTGTATGCAATGGAACATAACAAAGAACTCATTCGTCAGCATGGCTGGGTTCCCATTTCATCTGCACCTATTCACCCAGCCATATACACAGATATGAGTGGCACTAACACCCTACACACATACATGGGGAGGTACTTTTCCAATCATAACCCCGTTTATATATGTTTGCACAAGTGCTCTTCTCGCTGCCTTATTGGCTTGGGAGAGGGGGGAATAGTTTACATTCCTCATCACCCTTCCCTCTCGTGCCTGCCTTAGTTAACAAACAATGACCAAAATTGCTTCTGTGTAAAGAAAACAAGAGACTGTTCCTATCCGCTGAACTGTAAAAGCAAAACAAACGAAAAACCTTTATTGACCACAGAAGTTCATGGGGTTTATGTTGAACCGGGGAGAGGGCAGGAGAGGCGGTGAGAATTTCTGGGCTTTCTGCTTCCAGGGCCTCTCACCTCGCCTCCCCTCAAGGATGGCCTAGGGGCAGAGAGAAATGGAGATGGTTGCTGCAAGGTGCCTCCCTTCAGAGGAATGGAGAGTTCTTTCGGAGATGGTAAACAGGTGTCTGTTCTTTACCGCTCCGGATGGCAAGTGTGGGTTTAT